TAAACACGGGAAATCCCGTCGTCTCTCTGCCGGCTCAATCGCTTTACCGATGCCGAAAAGACTAAGTTGCGTTGGTTCATTACGCAATTTCTCTTCCGTCGTCATATTGCTGTTTGATAAGCGCGACATTAATTATCACGGCATTATCTACGGTTAATATGTACATTGGCCATGCTAGATAAGTTGATAATAGATTAGTAAATGGCAACGCGTTATGCCTTCCCCACCTGCGTGACAAGAGAGAGAAAAACGGCTGCGAATACCGGAACTCTAACTTCTTCTACTTATTAAACTTTAATTTTTTACAATCGACGGAATTGACTGCTCTGAAAAGAGCTCGTTTCAATTGCCAAAGCGCTCGACCAATAATTACGACTTTACGTAATTCGTAACTTCGCTTCCGTAACTCGAAATAATTCCGTAATTCCGTAAATCCGTAAATTACGTGCAAGCCTACTTTAAATTACCAACTTCCTCGAGTATAAAATAACAACATTATTAATCTTGATGATTTGCAAATATTGCAAAGCAAACGTGATGAACTGTGAATTCCAGCAGTTTGCGAAATCGTATTCAAAAAATTGAATATATATTTGAACATAATTCAAAAGTTTGAAACGTGAACAAGAAAATACGTTGTCACATTACTGTATCGCCCTATTTCAGTTGAAAAAGCAATCAATTTTTTATAAAATTGATCGGTGTGTATAGCATTGCCGAATTAGTATTTTTCTGAAGTGGCCCTATATGAAAATGCAATTATTTATTAACTTTTCAACTCAGTTCTGTAAATGGTGCTACGATAAATCCCCATGCGATACATCAAGTTCACGTCAATTGGCAGATTGATGTTCTTTATTGACCTGTTTGCAGTTTGATTCATTCTGATTGAGGCGCCATCATTTACGTGCAACCAAGCGCTTATCTAACAAAAAGAGTTAACAAACTTTTCATTATCTTTTAAGATTTTGACTCGTTGCGGTCGAAAATTCCAATGTACTTTTTTCTCATTTTAATATGTTGCACCCAAAACGGAAGCTAAGTCGGCTTTTTTAAACTGAGTTGAGTGTAGCGTACTAGCATAACAATCTAAATCTCTGTTGAAGTTGATAATTACTGATAGAGCTGGATACATTGCGGGTGCTGAAATGTGGCAAAGAATATTTTTTTTCTGAGCTTGCTATTTCGCGTGTTTTATAAAACATGCCTTGGTAAGAGATCCGAAGACGAAGACTCTCTTTTATGCAAACGAGTTGACAACAATGCTGCTTATGTTTTGATCACGGGACCGCAAGGTCCTTTTGGTCCACCCGGTTTAATTGGAATCCCAGGATTTGATGGCCTATACCTGGACCACCAGGAATGGCCTTAGACTACAGATTGGAAATTATGATTGAACAAAAAGTCGCAGAAGATGAGTTATGTGTTTTCAAAATCAAAATCATTATGTAAAAATATAATCTATGCTATTTGGTTTTGCGACTTAACTGCTCAGGTATTTTAATCATCTCAAAGAGAATTTTCAAAATAATATTTTTATGCCCCTGCAAATTTCCCATAGCCTATATCGTGATACCGTTTTTAGCATGGTACCGAAAGTCTGCCCGAAAATGTTTGAATTCATCGGTTAAATGTGAAGACCAATGTATGTATAAACGCTATCGAAGTTTACATGCGCATAACTTCACAATTGTTTTCGGTTATACCGTCGTCGAGTCGTTGCTATATCCTTGCATTGTATCGTAAATAGATGAATTGTATCAATATTTATTTTTCATCACTGACTCATAGTTGAACTGTTAACAAAAATTTCAGATGATTGAGTTTTGTTGCAAGTGAATAAAACAACTCTGAAAAATTAAATTGTATATCAGCAAATTCAGATTCACTTTACCCAGTTGGAACATAGATTTGTTCGGTGCAAAATCACCCAAAAGCTTTCTTTCTCCACCGACTATGCTGAATAACTAATTAGAAGCTTGTTTGAATTTTCCTTTTTCAAAATTCAGTAAAATCTCTCTCTATATATATATAATTATACTTTAGTTTAGTTCATCTTCACAAACTGCCTCTGCAGGTGCAAAAAAATGTTCCCCCGATAAGTGGACTTGTTCGTTATGACGAGCTTTTTATAAAACTTGCTTGTATGAGAGATCGTCCGAATCTCTTGTATGCAAACGAGTAAAAAACAATGTTGCCAATGTTTCGATCAAGAGTTCACGAGCCCTGTTTGGCATACCTGGACGGTATGAACTTATGGGGCTCCCGTGAATGCCTGGGTTACCCTGCTATAAATGTTCACCTGGCATCGGGGTAGATTACAGGAGATTGGGGATATTGGCAAAGCAGAATGTGGCAGAAGGTATTTTTAAATATACCTATAACGGTAACCAGTAGTGAGATTCAGCCGGTTCGCACCGGTTCTATAGAAACGTCTCACGGAATTTTATGAGATCAGCGAACCGGTTAGAATTATTGGTTTATTTGCTAATAAAATATGACTTTTTGTAACAGAACCGGCTAAAAAATATGAATTTTGTGATGGAACCGGCTTACAAAAAATTTGAATTCCACCACTGCTTATAACATGTAAAACCTGGCATGTCTAATATTTAAAAATAAAAAACGATTGTCGTTTTGTTTTACCTTAACATCACGTCAAGGCACAAAACTCGTTGTTTTATATTTCGAGATTTTAATTTTTCGTTTCTGAACATTACGCCTCCCCGTTATTTTGGTGAATATATATATATATACCAAATTCAACTAAAATTGTATTGGTTATTTTATTATGTTTTGATAAATAGAAATTTTCAATTACAGCTATTTATTCAAAGGAGAATGTAGAATCAAGGACTTCAAACTTCCGATGCGAGAATCTAAAAAACAGAGTCGAAGTCGATGGAAATGTTTTTTCGTTGTCGTGCCGGAGAATGAAGTCAAATTTCTGGCAGCTGAGCAGTTGTGCATAGATATAGGAGCAACACCGGCAAATATTTACGATCGCCATCAATTCGGCAAGATAATAAATTATCTTCATGAGTTAAGACAAACATTTTATCACGTATATCTTGGTATGAAGTGCAATACTGAGGTTAGTAGAATAGTAGACATTGCTATACTGCCGATAATTTAACGACGTCACATGTTGCTAATTTTTGTCCTAAAAATTGTGTCAATTGAATGAAAAAAAAGAATCGTGGGAAGGAATAATTTAGGATATTTTCAAATTTAAGTCTTATCGGAATACAAATTTGGTTAATATTGGAACATAGGAAAACTGTTACTCAAAATAAAGAGTATTTATGGATTTTTAAAGCATATAAATACTGACTAGAAATTTTTACTCTGCACTGTTATTTTTGACAGAATGACGAACTCGCCTTCTATGACGGAAGCCCAGGATCGTCTCTTTGAACAGAAAAGATGACAAGAGCGCTTAATTAATCGTAAGGCAAGATAGGATAGCCATTAAAGTTGTACGACAATAACATTTCATTTTACTATTGGAAATTTTCTTCCATATTCAGTGTTGTTATCAGTATGACGTGTAATATGAGTAAAGTTCTGGGCCTATTCATAAAGGGAATTATCGCTTCCAACGGGATTACCTGTCCTGAGGATTGAGAAATAAATAAATCAATATTGTTTCTCAATTTTAATTTCCAAAGACATTTAAGTTGATATCATCAATTGCGGAAATCAGGCATAAAACATTGGCCATAAATAATCTTCTATAAACAGAATTTATTTTTAGCCTGACAGAATGTAGTGCATTGGATAGATAAGGCCTTCTCGCAGTTAACTACGAGTTATTAGCTGTTTCAAATCTCATGCCCACCGCCTAAATCAGTGTGTAATAAATTGTAGGCAATGCCGAGAAGGAAAGATTTCCGTCCTCGACCCAGCAAGGGTTGCTTGTGTAGAGCTTGGTCCGGAGCGTACAAAAGTCGTACAAATTCGCCTTAAAAAATGTTGAATGCCCAGTTTAATTGAAATTGCACAAAAATGATATATTCAACTTTACTAGAATGTCCTCAAAAATTAAAAAAAAATTCTTGTTATTTGATTGATCTATAAATTGGTGTTCGAAAATGCCTAAAATTAATCATATCCCTCAATCTTTAAGTTAACGAGGGGGACTTTATGTGACCATAGTCAGCTCTGACCAACAAAGGATTTCCAAGGAGAGAATTTTTCTTTTATCCAGTGCAGGGCGATAATTTTTGTAAAGACGGTTATTCATCTAAATCAAGTCACGATCTCGCTAAGAATAAATATACCCGCTGGTACAAAACTTTGTTAAAGGCAATTCAATTCAAACCACACTATAAAAAACGCATTATTCTTGTTTTCGATATTCTACTCAATTTTACGTCGTAATGTAAACAGTAATGCTTGTAAAATAACTTCAAGCGAGTTGTATCTCCTGTATGTATACCACAATGTATTCTGTCTTGAGAGAAATTCAAAAAAATATTTTGATGAGTAGCAGAACGTGAGTCGAGCAAAGTTCAAACATGCATCAGTCACATGCGCATGATTCACTTTTAGAAAAGAAATGCTTGTCATTTTGATATCTGTAAATGAACAACTTGATCTAGTATAATAACAACATTATTAATCTTGATAATTTGCAAATGTTGCAATGCAAACGCAATGAACTGTGATTTTCAGCATTTTTTGCAATAGTGGTCAAGCAATTGAATACTTAATTATAATTCAAAAGTTTGAAACATGAAGAGAAAAATACGTTGTCACCATACTGTATCACCCTATTTCATCTCGAAAAACTTTCGATTTAAATGAAGTGGAATTTGTATAAAAGTACAATTACTTAAATATTTTTAAACCCTGTTTTTTTTACGAGTACTACTAAAAGTCCTCAATCGATACATCAAATTCAGGTCAATTGGCAGATTAAAGTTCTCTATTATCCTGTTTGCAGTTCAATTTATTCTGTGCAGACGTCACCATTTACGTGTGGGCAAGTGCTAAATGAGTACCTCTCAAAAAACTTACAAAACTTTTATTATCTTTTGAAATTTGGACTCGTTGGGTTGAAAAATTCCCAATCAACCTTTTTCTTCTTTTGTTATGCTTAAGTACAAACAGAAGAGAAATCCGTCATTTTATAAATGAGTTGCGAGAATGGTACTATTATAACGTTTGAATCTCTGGTGAAGTTTTTATTGCTGATAGAGCTGGATACATCGCAGGTGCTGAAATGTGGCAACGATTAATTTTCTTCAGTCTGCTTTTTAGCGTGTTCCGTAAAACATGTCATGGTGAGAGATCCGAAGACTCTCTTATATGCAAACGAGTAGACAACGATGCTGCCAATGTTTTAATCACTGGACCGCAAGGTCCTCCTGGTTTACCTGGCCTGGATGGAATGCCAGGTCTGCCTGGAATCCCAGGACTTGATGGCCTACCTGGACTACCAGGAATCGACGTAGACCACAACAGATTGGTAATTTTGGTTGAGCAAACTGTCACAGAAGGTAAATTATGTGTTTATATATTTAGCATGTTTAGTAAACTACGGACTGTCTATTTATTGCGTCGTTCGAAACACAATAGTTCATAATCAATATGTATTAATTTATTCTTTGTTATTTTAGCCTTGTGACTTAATCGCTCAGAAAGTTTAGTCTTCTCAAAAAGACTACTTCAAAGTCTGCTCGATCGAACTTTCAAAATAATAACTCGAGTCGTTGCTTATATCGTAAATAGATGAATCGTACCAATAGAAGAAAATCAGATCAATTAGCAAATTCAGATTCACATGAAACTGATTTATCCGGTGCAAAATCACCAAAATATTTTTTTTCACTAAGAACGCTGAAGAGTTGATAAAATTCATTCACAAACTGCCGCTGAAAGTGCAGAAAAATGTTCTCCTGTCTAGTGGTCTTATTCGTTTTGATAGGCGTATATTACAAAATTTGCTTGTGTGTGAGATCGTCCGACTCTCTTGTATATAAGCGAGTAGAAACGATGCTGCGAATGTTTTGATCATCTTTCCATGGGGTTTACGAAGATGCCTGGGTTACCCTGCTATAAAGGTTCACCTGGCATCGGGGGTAGATTACAGGAGATTGGGAATATTGGCAGAGCATAATGTGGCAGAATGTATATACCCATAATATGTAAACCCGGCATGCTTAATATTTATAAATAAAAAGCGATTTCCGAGATTTTTGTTTTCGTTTCTGAACATTTTTCTTTTTCTAAAACTTCGACTCGATTCCTTATTTCGGTCAATATATGTTAACAAATTCAGCTAAAATTCTATCCATTATTTTTCATTATGTTTTGATAAATAAAAATTTCCATTTCAGCTATTCATGCGATGAAGAATGTAAAACCACAGACTTCCGACTTTCGATGCGAAAATCTAAATAACAAAGTCGAAGTCGATGGAAAATGTTTTTTCGCTGTCTTGCCAGAGAATGAAGTCAAATTTCTCGCAGCTGAGCAGTTGTGCATCGATAGAGGAGCAACGCCGGCAAATATTTACGATCGCCATCAGTTTGGCAAGATAATGAATTATCTTCATGAGTTAAGACAAACATTTTATCACGTATATCTGGGAATGGAATTTGATCCCGAGGTTAGTAGACACTAATGAAATTATTATATCGATATATTGTCAATAATTTACCCATATCGTTTCAACTTTTCTTCCCAAAATCTAGTCAAATAAATTAAAAAAGGGTATCGTGTGAGGTAACATTTAGAATATTTGCAACTGTATTTCTGATAAAAGTCGCTGTACGCGTCATTATAGCAAACAACTTTCAATTAATATTATAAACGTGGAAAAACCTTCATTCAAATGGTTTTATAAAATGTATTAACATGAGTATAGCGCAGGATTTTAAACTCTGCAATGTAATTTTTGACAGAATGACGACCTCGCTTTCTATGACGGAAGTTCTGCTCAATACTCACGTTGGCGCTTTGGAGATCCTGTTAGACGTGTGGCGGATCCGGTGAAAATGACACGAGTAGCCATAAACGTTCTGAGTGACAGCAACAACTCCGGTAATGGAATGTTGACCACGGCTATGATTTGGCCTAAAACAGGAGTACTTTGCGAATCTGCAATAGAAAGAGAGCCTTGAATTGGCATGAACATTACTCATCTGGTATCATATATATTAACTTATCATTCTAATTCCAACGACCAGTACGATCCAGAATTTCTTAAAGTTTGTCGACTGAAAGCAAATGCATTCCAATGTTTGTTTTATGTTACTAAGCTTCTTCACTATTTAGAAGTTTCATGAATTCGTCAGAATAAAATTTGATAACACTGATTTGTAATTGTATACTTGTCCGTAACGTGATCTATTCTAAACCTTGACAGCAATGAAATACTGGAACATATTATAAAGACCAATTTTCCTGTAACTCTATAGGTTAAATACTAATTTTTCTTCAGCAGTTGATGTCAAACCGTTGCTATGTAATAAATATTGAAACGAGTAGTTTGTATGTACTAATGTGATGTGGATCGTATTTATCTCCTGGAACAGAAATTATGACAAGAACGCTTACTCTCAGGGCAAGATAGGATAGCCATTAATTTGTACGACAATGGCATTTCAGTTCCCTATTGGGAGTTTTCTTTCTGATTTAGTGTTGTTATCAGTATTACTTGTGATATAAGTGAAGTTCTGGGCAAGGGATGATCGCTTCCAACGGGAAAGCATGTCCTGAGTATTCAGAAATAAGTCAAATAGTATTGCTTCTTAATTTTAATTTCTAAGAACTGAATATTTGGATTGGTATTATAGGGAGACGAGATGCGGTCTTAGGGATAAAGACTGATCACCCTAATATTCAAAGTTCGATTCCCACGTTATTGATTACACGTGTTATGCAATGTGACTCCAATCTGGATTCCCTCAGACGATAATAAGCACACGATGTTGAATGTCGAATTGTTGTATATTATTGGAAAGATGCACGATCCAAATTCCAAATACAGATAAAATTGTATACACTTAATTCTTAATGCAGTAAGATTACGGTCAGATCACAAGTGAAACAAAAAGCACAATATTATAGACTATAGAGCGATCTCGGCAAACCGGAAACGATACGTCATCAAATTGGTCGAAACGAGAAAGGCAATACATGGAGCGAATGCATTATCGCTGTTGCGAAACATAATGTGGTCTATTTTGTGAAATATTACATGCTATTAATATGAAAAGGGTTGAATACATTATAATTCATAGTTACACAATGCACATTCGCTACAGTATCATCAAATCAACAGAAAAACTTAATGAGAACGGCACGCGGGAGATTCGCGAACTTCTGGGAACGAGAGATCCTCAGGGAACCCACGTATATTTGTAGTTGAGCCGTACTATATATATATTTTATTCTCATTAAAAAGAATGATATCTATTCCACTTTTGTTATGACCATTTTCCTATAGCATGCACGAAATACAATCAAAAACCGTATGTCATAAATATGAGTAGTATTAGACCACCTTTCCGGTGGTGTTTGATCAATGCGGCGCTGTGAAATACCCTGTGTAAAAATTTTCCACAAATAAATGAGTCGACCCAGCGTTAACTGATTGTACACGCTACATTGACTGCGATAGGAAATTATATAAAATGTGGATAAGAGAAAAACAGAGAATGAGAATAAAGTAGACATGTATGGTGGCCCATCGTTGTCACGCGTAAAATTTAAAAAAAAATGAAAAAATAAAATGAAAAAGCGAAAATAAAAAAATTGTTGTGAAAAAAACATAAAAATAATTGAAAAAAAAAAGAAAAGAAAAATTAAAATAAAAAAATTAAAAATAAAAATAGAAATCAATAAAAAAAAAATTAAAAAGAAAAATTGGATAAAAAGAAAATAAAAAGGTTGACAACGATGGTCCGCCTCGTGGCCCATCGTTGTCACGCGTTTTTATTTTTAGAAATTTTGATGCTGCTTGGGACCAACGTTGTCAGGCTTAATCCTACACGCACAAATGTGTTTCCTGGGTTTCTAACTCACTACTGATTTTCATGAGCAATATCCAATAAATTCAAAACGAAAATGTTCTATAAATTCTCCATGCTAAGTTCAACCACAAGCAATATATTTATAATAATGATAGGAGAATATAGAATTGAATACGAAAATTTGTTTTTACGTGTAAAAGGTAATTGAATTGGAAAATGCTGCTTAACTGCTCAGTTGTCTGGACACTCGTGCGATGCCGGTACGGTACCGTCTGACCGTACCAGTACCCATGCAATCACTCATGAAAGAATGGGAGATACGGATAGTCTTGTAGAATATAGACTACTGAAACACTCTCTGCGCCTGCCCCATAACGTACAGCCGTAACGTACCGATCCAGACAAATGATGAATCGCCCGTGCTCAACCATTTATTTCAATCCATACCTCGACTCACTATATTCTACTACTAGGATCGAGGTATGGATTGAAATAAATGGTTGAGCACGGGCGATTTATCATTTGTCTGGATCGGTACGTTACGGCTGTACGGTATGAGGCAGGCGCAGAGAGTGTTTCAGTAGTCTATATTCTACGAGACTATCCGTATCTCCCATTCTTTCATGAGTGATTGCATGGCTACCGGGACGGTCAGACGCAAAGCGACTATAACCGACTATCGGTATTTGGTAAGACGGTACGGTACCGGCATCGCGAGTGTCCGGACAACTGAGTAGTTAAGCAGCATTCTCCAATCAAATTACCTTCTACACGTAAAAACAAATTTTCCGAATTTTCGTATTCAATTCTATATTCTCTTATCATTATTATAAATATATTACTTCGTGTTGAACTTGTAGCATTGAGATTTTATAGAACATTTTCATATTGAATATTGCTCAAGAAAATCAGTAGTGAGTTGGAAACCCAGGGAACACATTTGTGCGCGTAGGATTATGCCTGACAACGTTGGTCCCAAGCAAAAGCAAATTTTCTAAAAATAAAAACGCGTGACAACGATGGGCCACGAGGCGGACCATCGTTGTCAACCTTTTTATTTTCTTTTTATTAAATTTTTTTTTTTTTTTTCAATTTTTTTTTTTTTATTTTTTTTTTCCGTTTATTTGTCGTTTTTATTTTCAATTTTTTTTTTTAATTTTAATTTTTTTTTCCATTTTTTTTTTCAATTTTTTTTATATGTTTTCACAACTATTTTTTTATTTTCGGTTTTTTATTTTATTTTTTATTTTTATTTTCAATTTTACGCGTGACAACGATGGGCCACCATAGACATGGTAGAACCTCAGTAATTTATGTCATGGATGTAACATGAAAAATTTCATTGAAGCCGTGTCAACTTCACAGACTGTCACGAAAGTTCATATGTCTCAAACTTATCGCTAGCTCGGAAATAAAATATTATTTGAATTAAGAAAGTTTGAAATAAAATATTAAATTCCGTTTCAAACAAACGAATTTGTGGCGGAAATAACAGTGGGTGAAAAGGTTCACGGTTGCCAATATACGGAGCTGCAAGTGTCCATGGCTGCAATCGTCTGTCCGTTTGTTTGGTTCCATTACATTTGAACCCACGTACATTTGAACCCATGACAATAGCACCTGTATGCTATTGCACCTATGGAATTTTTTTTGTTTCACGGATAGTTAAACCCATACTAACCCTAACCCATGGGTTTTAGCACCCGCATATAGATTGAGCCCGTGGATATACGCATGGGTTCAAATGTACGGTCACCGTTTGTTTAAACGTCCCAAGTCTTAATTGCTCGCGGGTGCAATCTTTAGGGCTATATCCTAAACGTATTCGGCGATCCATGATATATATTAGAAGAAGAAGACATCGCCAGACATGGCGTCATCGAATGTACAATTCGATCAGACTGTCTGTGTAACTAAATGCTCACCTTTCGTCGTAACTGCCTTCGCCAACTTACAGACACAAAACAATTCCGTATCCAGTGGTTTCGAACTTTTTATTCGTGCGGCGCCAAATTATCAAGGAAAAAACTCACGACGTACTTACACGAAAATAGAATTGCTGCCTTCATAAATAAAACTCAATTTCGTGTTTGTTATTGTGTACTTCATGCCTTTTAAAGTTTGTAAATATGTAGGCCTAAAAAATGAGGGTAAAAGATCAACTCTGCCTAATTTTCTTTGAAATACTAAAGAAATACTCATGTTCGCTGAACTCGAGTTCAGTAGAAAAATAAACTGCAGCTCGAGAATGTCAGTGAGTAGAAAAGTATGCAGGTGCAGTTGTCCTGGGTGCAGATGTACGTGGGTGCAAAGATACTGAAACCGGAAATTTGAATTTATTGATTCATATACACAGCAAACATTTATAATGAATACAATATGTAAAATATTCAGTAAATATATTACTCATAATATTAGTTATGTTTAACACAATTCTGTTAATTATCGGGGTGCACTTTGCAAAGCGCCGCTGCGTCTCCTTTGGGAACCGCTGCCGTAATCATACTTGCTTGACCTACAAGCGGCGCTTGAAATGGATTCCGAAAACATAGTTTACTGAATATAGTTCGCTCACGGCCGGTTCGCTACAGCTACGCATGAATGATGCGTTACTACGTCATCAGTTTGCTATACTGTATTTTGAAGCTTACGGAAGAGGATTTTCGTTTGAATTTATTTGCGTTTTTGGAATGGTTTTGTTGGTTGAAATAACTGAAAAGATATACTGACGCATTAGAATAAAGTAGGGGGTCGTGGCATCTGCCAATCATCTCTGCGTCGGTACCATAAGTTATCAAAGTGGAGTAGGGGCAGAATAATTCTGCTGTTCTGTGATTGCATTTATTGGATGCTAATTAAAGGTTTATACCAGGATTATAGCACAAAAGTGAGAATTCAGATACTTCCAAGTATGGGCGATATAGAATACCGAATCCAGAGGATTTGAATCCCTAGAACTCGGTTTCCGTCTCTTCGGCGCCGTGCGTCAATTTTTGTACTGACGAGCGTTATTCTCTCGCGACGAAATCTGTCTCGCGTGATTATACTTGTGTTTTCTCGCAAAGAGCCCGCAAACGATATCAAACACCGTAATCCCAGCTTGAATATTCAGAACGCGAAGACGGCGTTATTGCACCATTTTATTTATTAGCATTATTGCCGACTACCATCTTACAGGCGATTTTTCGATTGCACCAATCTTAATTTTTTGGAATAGTGAAACATTCTTTATTTTATATTAAATGACTTTTCGAGGTCTCCCGGAAAATGATGAGTACCCGACGTTAGACGATAAAACATTATTTGCGATTAATTTAGATCAAGTTTTACTTTTAATTTTCACGACACCCGGTTCTTGAAAATACGAAGTTATAACGCAAAACAATGCGCACTGTCACATTTATTTTGCGCTCCCGAATAAATATATATAAACCGGATTTCGAGTCGCTGATGAATCCGTTCCTATCGCCCAAGCGCGACACACGCCTGGTCGAGTGTCGGGTGGTATTTTAGTCGCGATAAATTAAAAAAGTTGAGATGATAACTAGAAATTAAAATTTGGTAAAAGAAATGAATTTGTCTCAAGATGTTATTTCATGAGTTTTGCTCTCAGAAGCAATCGTTTTCTGTCAAAGTCACAAGACGTTCAAACAATATATAACGATTATCATACCAGTCCGATAACCCACATCCTGTCTAACATAGGGTTGCCATACCGTCCGGAATTTAGAGTTAAATTTTGCCTCCGGGAAGAATTTCAAAAATGCTCAAATGTCCGGAATCCGGAATTTTACTGCATCTGCAATCCTACTGTGCACACTGCTAATACGGAACATTGTTATTTCGTACCGTGCGCATATTTTTTACTACGAGGTCATGAAAATAGTCATGCACTGTCCGGAATTTTGCTTTTTCAAATATGGTGACCCTAGCTAACATAAATAACAAAGACGAAAAAAGCGTGAGCGAACTATATTAAGGTAACTATGCCGAAAAGATTTTCAACGCTAAGATGTTGCGTCATCGACACGCGTAAAATTGTTGACTCAGCAAGTGTGGTTATCTCGCCATATTTCAATCAAAACAAACAATCATTGCACAGAGAGAAAAAAGGTAATTTAACTCTTCGGGAAGATTTGAAAAGTCGCATTTGTCATCGGCAATTGCATCATTGAGAGAAGACGGAAAGCGGACCAAAACATCAAAACATCAGACTCAAGATGGAAAAAGCGAGACGGTTATTATTTTGCGTTTTACTAGTTTTAGGAATTATAAATTAGGGTGCTTGTCGATTTAACTATAATACAATGCTTTTATCGCACAGACTAAATCATTACCTTTGATGTTCGGCAACAAATTCAATCGTGTAATGATTTGATTCGTGAACATACATCTAAAATGATTAGCAGGCTTGTTGTTTCTATGCCTGGCTTTCGGATATATGGATGTTTCAGAATACGAAGATATTGTTATATGTGCTACTCGTTCGCAAGCACAAATCTTTGCTAAATAAAACAATATATTGAATTTGGGTATACGCTCGTGTAGTGACAAAATGAATTTAAAAAAGACTAGATTCCGATCCCACTAGTTTTGTGAATTAGTGTTTTTATCGACTGAATTACTGGTACCCAGGAAACAGCACTTTCCCAAAGAGACCGTTCGAACGGACCATTGTCTTATTTTAGTGATATCTATTATATGAGTACAAGGTCAATCGCGCTTACCTCCATATTTAATAAAATAAGATTAAATTCTAGTCTCCCGAGAACTGTTATGTAACAATGAATTCTTCTAAATAATTGATTCTATTCCTAACAAAGTACTAACATTCTAGATTTTTTTACGACAAAGCTTACTTTCACATATTCCTAAGTTATATTCTTAACTTTTTATCATATAATGTATTTGTGGGACTTCGCGTTAGTACGTTGTCAAATTAATTTGTGATATCGGAATCCATTATTACACTTTTTTAGCCTAGAATTAATCGCGTTTCAATAAGAAAGATATAAATCCGCAAAATATACATAGACAAAATTACTAAACATGCACGGCATATAAAATATTAGTCGGGCAACGACATGGCAATGACGACTTGAAAGATTTAGTCATTTTGCAAATGGTATTGTTGAATTCTTCCCAATGCTTACTTGAGACACGGAATTATTCATTGCCCTATTAGCCGTTTGCATTTTGACGCGACCTACTCATTTAATAAATTCTTTTACTAAATTGAAAGATGAATTCTTATTAAAAATAATTACGAAAATAGTTATTCTTTTTAATGAAATGCGATATTTTATTTTATCGCCAACTACTATACTCCGGTTTTCATGGAAATAGTTTATTTTACCAAGAACGATATAAGATCGTATTTGTTTGCTGAATAGGTAGGTGGTTAGTTCGCGTTTCGAATAACTAATAATAATAGCATTGACGAGAATGGTTTAGCATAGCCTTGCATATGTAGACTCAGTGTCCAATAGTAATAATAATATTAATTATTGAATAACTCGGGGATAATTTAAATGTGTATATAGAACTGCTTTGGTTTGTCTCGCCGCAATCTGTGATTTGCTTGAGAAAGTATTGTCGAAACATTTTTAGTGTAGTGCGTCGCAAATTTCGTAAAAATATTTACTAAAAAGCAAGGTAACGTCGAGTCTTTCGCTTTTATGAGGTTCCTCACTATCGATTTTAGTAAAATCGGTCTAGGCGTAATATCATTTTCTCCGTAAACTGAATACAGGCTTTATCACTTTCGATGAGTTTCGAACACGAAACTTTTTTAGATGTGTGTACGGTACTTATTGTTTTTACTAGGTATTAGTATTACTAGGTGTTATGCAAAATGCACTAAAATTAGCTATGAATTTTTAAGTGTCTGTTAAGGCTCATAATGTGATTTTACTTATATTTCAAATAATTTGTTCAATAAAATATTAAAATATAGTTACTCTGCACAAATATCCTCATTTCATTTGTGTTTTCATAGTGCTGTGTTGAGTGTTGTGCTTTCACTTAGAACAAAGCTGTCAATATCTGGTAATTTTTCAAGGCATTTTTCTCCATGTTTAATCCTTTTCTGAAAATATGTTTTTATGATGAATAAATTTAGTAAGCGGATTAACAATTGCTTGGGACAACTTCGTTCTTTGCTGCCATTTACAAACTCAATGAAACGAGATATGGCATCATTGTTAGAGCAGACTGTGGAATATATCAATACCATGCACACTGTCCTCAATGAAGAAAAACCAGCATGCTTGTCAAGGGTGAGTAAACTGAAGTATTATTACCATTGGATTGGTACACAATCACACTACTGATTGCACTATGTCAGTTTTACATGTTACATCTCTCAGGATAAATATGTGAATGTGAATCCTATTCTACATATTTGAATTTAATAATAAAATGGTTCACAAAACCACCGTTCAAATTCACTTTAAATAGCAATGGCTAAATAATGTGCAATTTTGAATTAAGCTGTCTTGCTCAATCTAAACTACTAAGCAGATGAGAAGCTGTGATTCGCTGTATGGCTGAGCAGTATATTTTGGAAAAAAATAATGAGCATCGAAAATTTTGCACATTTTTTTAATGCTGAAACCTCTTCAGTTTTTTATAGTTCCTTTGCATACCTATTTTTTGGAGTGTTCACTTTGTCATGTCTTGCAGCCTGTATATATATGCAAACTTGTTTTTACACTATTATATTCGATACCCGTACAAAATATTTTTAGGTGTATATGACATATCAGAAAAAGATTGAGGAATATGACTTTTGCAGAAAATCTTGCGTTCCAAAATCTACAAAGAAAAAATTCTCAAGTGTTGGAGGGTATATTTTTATATAATGATGTACCTACATAAAAAAAATAAGGACATATGCCATGGCCCACAGTGTACAGTGGCAAAATTTCTATATTGTTGCAAATTTGAAAAGTTGAATGAATGGAGTTCGATTTAATATAAAACTTAACAAAAAAAAAATTTTAATGTAGCAGAATAGGTCAACCAATTATTTATTTATACAAATACTATATTTAATGGAATTTGGATAGCCATAGAAAAATTGCTCACTTATCATCACACCTAATTTGAGGGCATATCTGGGAATATCAGTATCACTTTCTAAGCTTTATTACATGCAGATAAACCTTGTTTGCCTCTTTAAGTCGTGTATGCTTGGTCTTGTTAGTAGCCTACAGAAATCTAGTTTTGTGCAAATGGTTGCTGCTTGTTCAACTATTTAATATAATAAAATTATGATTTTCCGCGAATAATGAATATAATAACTTTGTACTGTCACTTCAGGTATGAAATTATATAAACGATTTTCCACCTATTGATATTCAAGAGTAGTTCTTATATTTGTTGAAATTACTTTTTCAGGATATGCTCTCATAGTTCTGATAATCAATCATCATCACCAGTTTTATACCAAGGATGTTCAAGTGAGAAGATTTTTTGTGTACGGCATGAGAGTATGTTTAGTACAATGGTGGCTATTTTATGATAATCAGCTATTACCTAATACATGAATTCCCATATTGATGTTATTTATGACATCTTACTTGAGCTACTTATTCTGGAATGTATTTTTATGCTCATTCAGGTAATCCTTATGATATCAAAGGGAGGGATAGGATGAATACTGATGCAAAACGTCACTGCTCTTCGTTATCACATGATCAAAGTATGGTTCCACCAGAAATTTCAACCCCTACTGGTCCTTACTTGCAAAATTGGCATCCATCACAACAAATTATTGAACCTACTGGAAATATTAACAATAATAACTTCATGCCTACATTTCTACCATGTGGCAGGTATATTTAACTTTAGTCTAGTTTTTTGTTATTCCCTGGAATTTTGTTCAGCACAGCGTTTGTCATGGAAATGGTGTTGGTGGGTACAAGTCCAGTCATGGTTCATCAGAATTTCAGGTCAAGCCAGAAGGAGGCCCAGCAATTTTTATATTATGAGTCAATTAAGTCTATGCACTCCTTAAGTCCTAAGTCAGCTCTAGTAGCTAATATTTCAATCCATATGTCAAGTCTATTGCATAGTTGGTTTCATAAACAGTTGTGAAATACATCAATAAGTGTCCAAGATTTTTCAAGCCATTGAATACATTTACCTCAATATCCATACCATCTTTTTTGACTCATTTCTGCACAAAGATAATGAATTTTCGATTTTTCAACACAACATTAACTGGCATAGTAGATCGAACCATATCATATACCGTAATGTTTATGCTCAAATGATTGTGCCTGAACAAACCCTGCTCTTTATCTTTATTTAGTGATTGTAGAAGTGGGATCCTGAATTCAAACCATTATATATTTGAACAATCTCCACTGCCAAGTCAATATGGAATGCTTCAAAAACAATCAAATCAATATTCTCCACACACATCTTCGAAATTTCTTCCACCATTGACAAAAATGTGTAAGAAGGATAATTCTATACCTGTTTCATATGTATATATAGAAATATTTGTAGTATTGGTGGTGGAAGATTTCTGAAAGTTTTGACCTCAATGACTTTCAAACCACACTAGTCGTACCCACTACTTTGCCAAACTTTTTTAACAAGCTCATGTGCCTTTGGTCAAGAATTTGATGACATACCGGTAGTTAGTTCCTCTCCCCAACCACTTCATTGCACACATTTCTGTTAACTACTCTGCAGTACTTGTGTAATATAAGTAGTCACTCAATTAATTGATAATTCAGGTACTGGGATGCCAAGACCTCTTCTGCAATATGGTGTTTCAACATCAGTGGGTTCTCTTCAAGGAGAAAATGTTGGAGAATGCAGTGAGGATTCCTCATCGGACATCTCGCATAAAAGTGGCATAAGTGTTGAGGAAATGATCAGTAAAAGTAAGTTGAGTGAGGTCTTGTCCTCCCTAACCTGTTCTAACCTCTCTTGAAAAGTCTTATTTGCTCTAATCGCTCTTATTTTTCAGATTCCTCTTCTTAGTTCTTATCATTATTTTTATTAATTTATTATTATATAATGAACAAACACTGGGAAGAGAATAACATATCTATTCAAACCCAGATTTAGACTTCCATTATCTACCGCTGTAGATTTTAATGTGAAATTGTGGTGGAAAATTCTTAAATTTTTTTTCATACAAAAACCACACAGCAAATTTGAGAAACTACCTTCCTGGATGTGGGGGACACTTTTGGATGATGGTTCGCAAATCTTTGAAATTTTCAGGCTTGAGGGTCAAACCCCCCTTTCGACAGACGGTGCAACGGAACTCCAGAGCAACATAGGAATTTTCGACCCCCCTGCTTCTTTCCAGGATGACCGGTCTTGCCTTAAAATTGGAAAATTAGAAACACTATATTTGGCATTCATCAAAATTTTTGCTCAAACAATTTTAAATTGGCCATTCATATGAATACATGATGTACTTGATATTTGATCGTTTGCTGGGAGTTTATCACAGATTCCCATTAGATCAAGACAAGTAATCGCATGCTGAAAATTTAGATTAAATTAGAAAGATTTAGATTAAATGGAGTTTCTCATTTGGGTTGGGAAAAACTATTATTTTCCATTGTCAACATTCTTGATGCTATTTCACCTTTTCCTCAAAGGGGTTATGTAATTGTAATCCAAAATGTGATTGTATTGATTGAAAATAACTGTAGAAAACTTGAGCAAATGAACTTTTCTATTTTACAAGAATTGTCTCATAGTATTGCCACATGCGTTCATTTAGAAGTGATTAAAACACGCTTTGAAGCAAAGAAGATGACTACTGTAATACCAAAACTATTGAAACCATACAGAATTAAAGTATTCCGTTTTGTACCAGTAGTAATACTGCTTGTCTTGAAGCCTTTTTGCTTCATGCAAATCTCAATCATATGTGTGTATGACAAAAATACTGATTTTAAACCCAGTAGAAGATGATACCCACGCTAGGTACACATTATTTCATTCTATTATAATCGAAATAAAACTGAGTTGTATTTCGGGTTTTTTTACACAATCTATTGATACGGAGCGCAATTTTACTGGTGTAGAGTGAAATATTTGAAACAGTGTAAGACTGCTGGTTACCATGGGTTGTATATTGAACTTCAGAGTTAGCTAATGAATGACATGAGTATTATATTTATCAGATCGTAAGCCTCAAAATTTTTTGAATGTGTCAAGTTTGGTGGAAAGTAATGACCAAGGCGGTATGATGCAGATGAATCCATCACCATGGAGACAGCACGATTTCACGTCTGTAGTTCCATTCAACCCTATTATTTCCAAGAGTGACAATCCAACACATAATTTGCTTGCTCCAATGGACATGGTATGTTATTGAATATTAAGATTTTCCTACTTTTTAATTCATAACATTTCTGCATAAACAGCAGTTTGCCATTTGTATAGCTGTTAACCTGTGTTTAATATTGGAATGATTTTGCAATTTACTTGTGCTTCAGTCACATCTACTGTTGATTTTGTAGCCAATAAGATTTACACCAAACTTCTTATTGTTATTGATAAACTTTTCCAAGAGTTCTATTTCCTCTCATTTTACTAATTTACTCTTTCTCTTAAGTTATGTTATCACAGGCATTCCGCCAGGGATAGTTTTCCAACTTCATGTGTGATTTACATATACTACTGCTATAATTTGATCTTTATGTTCATATATATTGCTTAGTTGATTTGTAGTTATAACTTGTTTCATTTCTGCAGTCATTATCACCACCATCTGATGCTCACAAAACATCACCACAATTCATGGGAGTTTCTAAATTATGTGGTGGAGGTATGTATGACATCTTTTTGTTTTATTCTGCACAGACGCAAATGTTTCTGACCACTAAAATATCATTTGACAACGATAGGTTTTGATGGTCTGCCTGGCCATTCGAGATTGCTTTCATTTGTGGTTAGACTTGAATAATGATGTGTATCTATTAATTATTAATCAGGTATATTCACAAGTGAAGCTTTTTATTTTTTTTACTTGAATGTAAAATACCTAATAAGTGATAACTGAACTGGTTCATTTTCTTCCTATCTTTTTGTACTTACAAAGTACAGTGATACCTCGTTAGTCGAGTGACAAGGTGTCTCAAGGTGCGCAATTTTTTATGATGACATCACATACAAAAACTATAGAGCCCAAAGAAATTTGCTCAAACGTACAGTAACTGATACAATTTTTAATATTTTGGAATGTGTAAGAACGATCCTTAAAATTATGTTCGACTGCCAAGGTATCACTTTATTATTTTCTCCCAGGCTAACCACAACATGAATCATTTTAGTATTTTACTTGTACAATATTAGTATCTCATATTCAAATTTGTGTTATAATATAATTAGGATTCACAACAAATAGAGAAATGGGAATCATAAGCAAACCAATGTCTGTTAGCAATATGCTTAATGAAGTAACTGGAATCAATAGCACAGGTAAGTAACTTTCAACTACTGTATACATTTGGTTCAGTAGATCAAACATGCGCAATGTACCTGGTTATGCTCTGTTGTACTGCACGATCAATGCTTGTCATGGTACCATGGTTACCCTGACTAACCACGAGTTGGCATTGAAAATATGGAGACAAATAATTTTGTTAGCAATATTGAAATGTTCGTTGTTGCCCATTACACAAATGGGTTGAAATGGATGTGACGAACTATGGGGAAATATGGTTATCAGTGCAATTTGCATTTAGTAGTCATTGAGTGTAACCTACGATGCCATCACTGGTTATCCCTAGGCTGGCCTTTATTGCATTGGTTGTTAGTCATTCAATGCTTTAACATCTTGTATGATTGATTTCTAGAATTGCTATTATTGACCAATAAATTGCTGCTTCGTATTTGAAATAAGTACATAAAGAAAAACCCCATGAATAGACATTTAAACTGTGACTTTCTGGCCAAACTGTAATATGAAATATTCGAACAATAAATATTATACTGTGAAATAGCATTGCGATCTTGGTTAATACGGAATGCATTGATATAACAACATCATTATTTTGGTTGAGATTTTCATTAATATATGTATTTCACACATGTAATTGATTCATTTTTATAATTTCAATTTATGATAATTTCTGAGCTTTTTGATATTTGTAGGTACAAAAATGCCAGCATTTGTGAATATCTCTAAAAATGGGCGATATGTTTTCTTGGCGTTTTTTTTATTTTGTCCTCAAATATGCTTATGTAACATCTAGCTAGAGTAGACCGTTGATTTCTTTGATTTTTAACAAAAAAATGTGTGCAAAATGGAATTAGCATAGTAGAAAAAGATAGATCCATGAATTTTTTTCTGAGCATTACCGATTTTCCCCAACTTTGAAAGGATGTATAAGTATGTAAGTTGTGGAAACAAAATATCTTTTTAAAATCATATTTTGTAATTGACAAAATATTATCAATATTCAACTTGGCCTTTATTATTGGCATCTTGTTTAATCATCCTAATATCAAATTGGACTTGATCTAAAGCAGGGTTGTCCAACCCGTGGCCCCATATGGCCCGCGGAAGCATTTCAAGTGGCCCGCGCTGTATTTTTCGGAAAAATTGTATTGTATTGCTGTATTATTTTTCGGAAAAATTGAGTATAACTATTATTCGAGTGATGTAGTATGCAAGGATACAAACGATTTGTTTATTTTCCTGAAATGCGCTTTGCCAGCCCTTTCAAACGAGCCATGAGTGCCATTTTGAATCGAAACCAACTGGGAGGAGATATCGATACATAAAGGTGCCATAGTCGCTACGTACATACATTAAAATCACGATACATACATAAAAGCGAGCTCCTTTGTGGCAGAAATAACCGCAAAACAATCCAAGCCTTCCTCAAATTGAGAATTCGTTAAGCAATGTATTGTTCGGGTTGCCAATATTTTATGTCCGGAAATAAAAGAGGCGTTTGCAAAAATAGGCATGTCAAGACAGACAATTCTCGTCGTGTTAAAGAGCAAAAGCGGAAAAGTTTTCATCGTATTCCTTGGCTCTTGACGAAAGCACTGACAAAAAGTCTACTGCTAATCATGCGGGGAGTTAATGATGATTTTGAAATCACCGAGAAGCTCTCAGCCATTGTCCCAATTAAGGGCACGACTCCAGGCATTGATTTGTTGGGAGCTGTGATGAAAATGATCAAGCGTCTTGGCTTGTCTTTGGCAAAACTTTCGGGATTACCACTGATGGCGGCCCATCAGGGGTTGGGAAACAACAGTTTCATTGTTCTAATAATTGTGAATGTTTGGCGTGAGGGTATTGTTTGTTTTTTCATTAACCTGTAGTCAGTGTAGCAAAACTAAAACATAACTACCATGTTAAGTGGCCCGCGCACTTAATAGTAAACTAAATGTGGCCCTTCGGTCAAAAAGGTTGGACGACCCTGATCTAAAGCATATGTGATGTTTCATTAAACATTCCAAGAATCTAAATTATTTCAAACCTTAGTTTTTGTTTTTATGTTGTGCATTCCCTAATCTGTATTAATTGTGTTGAGAATACCAAGTCTTTCATGTCTCTGCACTGTATTACATGACCAATATTAGTGAAAAATATTTCTATTTCTTTTGCTTATTACAAAATAGCTAGCAACTATAAATTGCTATAAATTTTGTTATAGGTTATTCTTCAAAATATGGATCTTCTGAACATAAAGTCACACAAATGACGAGGTAAATCATGTTAGTTCATGTTGGTAACAGCTTGTCAGTCAATTGCTGAAAATATTTTTTCCCCTGGCAATCATCAACTCCATCCAAATCATTGGTTATTCTTAGCCAACATTTTTTAACCCCTATTGCAAAATTTTCAGATGCCTACCTTCCTTGTGCTACGTATACACAAGTTACTGTTAGAAAGTCTGCGTTACGCTGCCACCCAAGCTATACTTTCTTTTTCAGTTTGCAAAAAAAGTATCAGCCATCTGTATCACAAAAAGACTCCGCAAAATCAACTGCAATTGAGATGCGTTATTCATCTGCGCCAGTTGTTTGGGGAGGCTCCACTCCAACCTTGTTTAGCAATTTTTTTACCCCACCATCATCTCACGCAGGTAAAACTTAATTTATCATCAGCTCTCTTCGTTTTTTTTTTATACCAATGTGTGGTATACTGTGTTATGGCTCCCTTTATTTTCATGCATGAGTGACCTTTGTTTTCTCTCTCGCTTCTTCTTTTGTTAATGCTTCAGTCGATGACTGTATGTTTCTGTAATACATTCTGAATATCTACAAACATCGTCTATTCTTCGAGTTCACGACACAACACAATGTCAATATAAAGCAATTGTATTGGACAATATTAATTCATACCATACTAAATAAATTTAGGAAAACTAATGAACGCTTCTTTATTTACTGTTCTTGTTAATCAAAAGTCATAAAAAGAAAATAAGACATTGATCTCATTAAGTTATGGTTATGTACCCTTATCCGGATGAAGAAAATTATATGCGGACTACAAATTTATTTTTCAGACTACGAGTGAATGTAATTTTTTATTTTATATAATAACTCAATTATTATTTATAATTGTTTTCATTACATATATTTCGACTCATATGAGTAGTATTTAAAGTGAAATATTGTCAATTCTAACAGACAAACTAATAGCTGATGCTGCTGTAATATCACCCTTGAAGTCAGATACCCCAGATGTTGAATCTAAAACGTCAACAACAAAAGACCTTGGGGGAGGTATGTAGCTGTAGGCCCCATATTCTCTGTGTCTTTTCTAACACTTTTTGCACCGTTTTCACTATTTGCACAAGTAAGTCTATACTTTGCCCGAAATTCAGTTGATTGTGAACTACACAAAGCTGGGTCGCCTGGAAATCCTCATGGGTCACTTGTTTTTCAACAAAATTTATTTTATTTTTGAGTATATTTTGTTTCACTTGTGGAATTGATTCAGATTCAGATTCAGATTTTATTTTCGTCATGCAAAACCAATATACGATATGAAAAAATAAAAAAAGACATATAACAAATTACGAAGACAGATATCGGCTTGTTGCAATAGACGAGGGATCGCGAAAGACTCAAAGAGTCATCCAGTCAGCGACACCTTGTAGCTGCATTGAAGCAGCAAATATAGCAACCGAACAACTCAATATTAAATAGTCACTAAATTCGACACAATCATATATATAAAAGGGACAACAAAAAGAATGCCACAATGACCACGAAAAGTTACCTAAACATTCACTTAATTAGCCTCAATCACAAAAAGGAACAACAAAGTTTAAAAAATAAAATACAGGATGTCATAATAACTATGGAGTATTAGATATTTACCTAATTAAACTCGATCATACAGAGTAAGAACAAAATAAAATCGAAATAAACACCGAGATACTACAATGATCACATCGTATTATATGACTTAACAGCGACATCTGTAAGAAGGATATGCCTCAATGACAACAAAGAATTGCGAAATAATGCTGACTAAGCATACACAGTAAACCAATATGGCGTGCCCAGCAACGGGCTTCTGGCTGCGAGAATCAATACCGTATTTAACGGATTTTTATGTTGAAAGCGATTGTTAGTGGCTATTAGAGTAGTGCAGAATAATTATGGGTTCTGCAGTATTCGTGGCATATAGGTTGGGCGGAAAATATTAAAACAAGAACAGTACACAGCGAGCACACAACTTGACGAACATGGATGGGAAAAGCAGCACCACAGGGATGGGTACGGTACATACCGGTATACAAATATAATATTTCTAGACTAATTGCAACTGGGCTTATAAGCATCTAGGTATAGGCTCTTCAGTGCATGTTTATACAAGTTATAGGTACTGGTCCTAATGCTATTGGGGAGATTATTCCACAATTTAACACCAACAAACTTGATTGAGTTTTGGGTGAGTTTGGTGCTAAAACGATTTACATAATAAGAACTGCTAATAGAGGACCGTGTTCCATATGAGTGAACATTGCTTTGTTTTGAAAAATAGTTTGTGAACGCAGGAGGGAGTTTTTTGCAGTGGTGTTGGTGCATCAATTTCAAAACTTCTATTTTGTAAATGTCTGCCAATTTAATAATTTGAAGGTTATAATAAATAGGACTGAGTCGTGAAAAATAACTAGCGGCAGATATTGCACGGATTGCTCGGTTCTGCATAATTTCAATGCGATGTAATAATGTTTTAACAGCTGAACCCCAAGCAATTATGCCGTATTGGATATGGCTCTGGAATAAGGAGTAGTACACCATCCTTAGTGTTGTTGGTGATGTAAATCGTCTAAGCTTGTAAAGTATTCCAACCGATTTAGATAATTTAACGGATAATTTGGATAAGTGAACATCCCAATTCATTTTACTATCTAAATATATGCCAAGATATTTATAAGAATGGACATTTTCAAGTTCTTTGTCATCAATTTGTATTACTGTTTCATTTTTAGATTTGCACTGGTGTGGAGATATTAACATAGTTTTTGATTTGCCAATGTTCAGTGTTAGTTTATTAGACCGCATCCATATTTTGTTTCACTTGTGGAATTGTTGCTCAATTGTATCTGTGCAAAATATCACATCTTTTTTTGCTTAATGAAATCCTGCTACTAAAAATTGCGCGACCTTCTCACTTTAAAGTTTCTGCTAAAAGAAATGTTCGTGGAGTTTTGTATTAATAATTTAATTTTATGACAATAAAACCACTAACAACATTCCGTATTTGTGCATATCTTGGGGGCTCAAAATTTCACACTAACCACTGCCATAAACTATTATAAACGTTAATATGGATTTTTGCTGTTTGCACATGTTTGTGTATTAGTTTACATATATCAGGGAGCTTTGTAAATGATAATTGAGATTGCAAGTGGGACAATGCACTTCGAAGGGTTAAACGATGATAAGTCTAACAAACTGTGCCAATCGGCAATATCGAGTTAGCGTATGTCATAACACGCAGCAAAGAGTCTGGGGGAAGTTGGTGAAACTTCTTTTTTCCTAATTTTTAGTTCCTCACGATTCAGAGAACGTTACCCCGGAATCGACGGCGAAGACTGATGAAAACAATAATTTGGTAAAGTGATACTTTTTTAAAATTTATAATACAAATTCATAACAAGTTATTTTTTGTCAGCAATATGCGAACCATGACTTATATCATATGCTGTGCAACCATTTATTTTTTCACAGTTTTAATATCGGTTTTATCACGTAACATATCACCTTCTGTTGCATAAGTAATTTTTATTTGCCTCCTATTGCAGGAAACTGATGGATCTTATCCGACCTCCAACGCGGAATCGGATTTGGCAAAGGTCGAAAAAGCCAAGTGAAGTCAAAAATTTGGACTTTGCTATTGTGATTAAATTTCTTCACGTTATTGTTCAGTTCTTTTGTTTATTTCATCCACGTTCATACTTGTGCATGTTGTTCATGCGTGTCGAGTAAAATGTCACTCTTTTCAATGTCTGAGTGAAGTGGTCTGATGGTAGGGTCACTTTCACGAAGTATTATGAAGGTTTTTTTGGCAGTACCGGTGTTCCTAAAAGATTGCCAGTTTCTGGCCGAAGGTATTCAGCTGTAATGTACTAAGAAAGTATTGGGCTCAAGAAATATGACTGCGGCGGGACAAGCATTTTTGTCTAGTCCCATATTGGGGGTGCAACAAAAAATCCTCTGAAGAAAAGGTGCACCTGCAGCGTAATGCAGAGAAGGGTGCTGTCCTATCGCGCGTGTCCTTGTTTTGACACATACTATTTAATATACGTAACGGAATATCGCTAACCCAACTCCTTCAGAAGTCGAATAACACGTAATATTTTACAAATCTCCGTATATAAGGCTTTACGATCGAATTAATACAATAGGATAGTAACTACGAATGGGGGTGTTCAGTGCCATTTAACATTTAAATTATGTTACAACAACACGAATTAATTAACATTGTCGTGAACTAATGCCAAATGCTTCGAATTTTCAGTATGAATACAATTAGTCCTCTTCAGCCGTCTTTTCGGATTTTCTTTCCCCGGGATAAATTGTAAGTCCTATCCTAACTAATTTAACAAACTTTTAATTTGTATTCATACCGAAAATTCGAAGCATTTGGCATTAGTTCACGACAATGTTAATTAATTCGTGTTGTTATAACATAATTTAAATGTTAATTGGCACTGAACACCCCCTTTCGTAGTTACTATCATGAAATTATGGTTGAATCGGTGGCAGTATACATTCAGATTGAAAAATGACTCCAAACCTTCCTGATCCGTGGCCCCCTCTAAAAAACTCGCAACACTTGTGGCCCCCTGTTCTTCCCCTAACCTCTTCACCAGTTGTATTTTGCGCCATGTTTAATAATAAATAAGGCAACAACGAAATGTTATGCTGGCTAACAATCAAATGATTCAAGAAATCACGAAGGACACCTAGTTTGGGCCTTTCTCGTGGCTCCCAGCAGATCTCTCGCATTGAGAAACTCCGTGTTGTACTTTGATACCAATATTTCCGCTACAACAAGTTATAGTATTCGTTTTCAAACTTTTTTTGTGTTTTCTCAATGTTTACCAAGTGAGTGATATTATGTAAAACATTGAAGTGTTCTCAGCCCGGCGATATATAGGTACTGCATATATATAGGTAGTATATATTTATTCCACACGTATGTAAATGGCCAATGAACATTGAAAAAATAAAACAATAAAAATAAAGAAACCTCGACAAAACACTAATTATGGTTATATGGGTTGATTGATCAACATTAATGTCAATTATATATTGTTAAGTTACAGATCAAATTATCATAAACATTAGATCACGAGTCAGTAAAACACAGGCATAGGTATAGATAGTAAAATACCATCACTTTGATAACAAGTCGCATAATATGTTCTTTTCGCAGCCACTAAAAGAGATGATTTTTTAATCGTTGACTGAACATTGCAAACAAGCTCTCTGATACACCAAGTCACATAATCCGGTACCCCCTATTTTGCGAGATTTTTGTCACAGTGGATCGTTGTAATGTAGCTTATTCGATCGGAAGTAAGACCGTCCACAAGAAAATATTAGAACCAAGCCAGTTCAAAATTTGAGCCAGGCCATGAGAGGTTCATAATCCGGGCCCAAACAGCTCGGGGCCTAAGCCTACAATACATGTGTTCAGTTCAATAAACCCCTGTCTGATTCGAGACACTTTAGAATAAATATGTAGTGTGGAGTCACATTCAATTTCTGTTGTGAGAACTGGATTCTTCAAAGTTTTTTAATGGTTGAAAGTTGAGTAATGAGCTTAGAGTTACAGGCAAACCATGGCAGTAAAAGAGAAAAAGACTGTGTACGAAAAGCAGGTAGACGTCTACAGCGTGGAAAGTGGAGTCGCCGCTAGACGAGAATAAACATGACAATACTACGCAATTCGAGAGTCCTTCTGCACACTAACACAAATGTATTCCTGTAGAATTTTCAAAAAATGTTCATAGGATAATCGAAATATTTTATGTTAATTTTGGAATTATATTTAATCATGAAGGTTATCTTTTCCACGCTGTAAAACTTGTCCGTCCAAATATAAGATAAGGTCCGCGAGATATGTTTTAAAGTTGCTTTTAGGATTCAAAGAGTAACATTTTGGGTTAACTATCGGGCCCCGTAGTATCCAGGAAAAATATTAAAAAAAAAGTTGTATATGATGGTAAAATATAAAAATAATAAAAGTAATATATGACCATATGGTTGAGCCGTCTTATCGGCTTTCCTCTCTCCCGGTAGGAATAGGTAAATCTATTCTATTTTGATGGTTTTATTTATATATTGGTTTGGCTATATATGCATATGACTCGGCAGTAAATGTACATCACCAAAATGACTGTATTTGGATATTAATTGGCTGTATATGTGCATGACATTGGCTGTATATGAATATTTAGTTGGCGCTATATGCATATTCTTGGCAGTATATAATGGCACGTTACCAACCCTATCGGGCCAGTCTGTACATCATATTACCTAATAAATCACAAGATGTCAAATACAATTCACATAACGCATTACCGAAATTACCGCTGACGATCAGAGGGCGACGACGAGAATAAGGCAGTTACATTTTGTGCATAAACAGGCAATCCCATTGTAGAACTTGAATATTTTACATGTATTAAAAGCATATCAGTTTATGGTCAGGCGCCGCAATGACAATTATTTAAATATTCTTATGTTGCAAGAGACATCTGCATCTGCACTTGCTGGCATATGAGACGGTCTTTGGATTCGCAAATGCAAAGTCTCATCGCGTTAGTTGGGTACGCAGTTTTTGAGATCAAAGACTTGAAGTGACTCGAGTCACTTCAATTCTTTGAGAAATAGGCAATTCAACGATAACATTCTTGAAAAAAGTTTATTTTGACAAAAATGAACCGTTTGAAGAATTGTTTAAGTTTTGCGGGTAATTAATTTTCTTCCTAAATCTATTAAAATGAAAGATTTTCACGCTGTATATAGAATATTTAAAACATTAGAAATATCAGGCCCGCTTGTGCAAAAAAAAAGTGTCATACAATTACGGTCCCCCCATATACACAAGACCAGTAAAATTAAATATATTGAGGTGTTTATAAAACGAGTTGAAAAAGTTCGTATGAGAAAAGATACATTAATTCTCGTTTAGACCTTGCCCGATCGTAAATTTATGGAAAACTGGCAAAAACATATTACGACTCGAAAAAATAGGTGTCAACAATTTTAGTCCCCCCTTCGCACGAGAGTACAACGAGTATCACAACGAGTTTAAAAACCTTTATATGGGTTTGAGGGGAAACACATTTATTGCATGGGGTAATTAGTTAGTTTTAGTAGTAAGCCACCATCATCATCATCTTAAAACTAGCGTCGATCGAGGGAGAAAACACTTAACTTTAGCTCATACGTCAAAAAGTAAAACAGACTGAGCATTTGCATGTCATGTCCATGAGTCCAAATCTGAAAAATAATCGAAGTTATACAGATGCAGAAAATTCAAAAGTATAACAAATAAATTTAGTTTCAAATGCACTTCTCGCAACTCCTTTGAATTTTGCAACCTTCCATTGCTTCTGTCGGCACCGGAGTATTGCAACATTCCGGGTGGTACCATTCCAAACATGAAGTGCATTTTATAATAGTCTGATTTATGTATAGGGCAGTCGACAGTTACAAAAAAAAATGGCATATCCCTAAATTTCGTCTTTATTTCATTCTGGTTTCGGTCGATCTTAAAATTTGGTGAAAATCGTATACAATATATATATATATATATATATACATAATTATTCATTACAAAATTTTTCATGTACGAACAATCATAAATTCGAATGGTACTTTGATTGAACGCAAACATGATTGACGCAGCCACCCAGTGATTATCATGCACGAACAGAATTGAAATGAATTTTTCAAATGGAGCGTTGACTTCTGTACCAGATATTGTGGTATAAAATGTTGTTTTTTGAAGGCCATTAGCATTTGGGTACTGCGATGACCAAATTAGTGATGCGGTATTCATGATGTCCGATGTGAACCAATCCCATCGGGAATTAGTATTGGAGCTCAATATTTCGAAGTAAAAACTTCACACATATATATATGTACCAAGTTTAGAAAATCATGTTGGGTGATCGCAACGCCTTACACCGCGACGACGCCCCAGAGCTGATTTTCGTATCCAATATATCGTAATCGAGCAATTCTATTGGGCGAGAAGGTCAGAGGTCTAGGCCAGGGGTCAGCAACTTTTTTGTCGCTCGCGGGCCAAAATTAAGGGTTGCAAGTCATTGGCAGGCCGCACTCATTTTTAGAAAGTTCAAAATAAAAATTTTAATATAATTTTTGCGGACCGGCGAATCTTCAAAATTATCCAAAAATGTCATGAACACAAAATGTAATCAAAGGAGTGCAATTAGGACAAAAGTAGGCGGTGCAGAAAAGGACAATCCAATTTAATGAGAAATTTGCTGCTGTCTTTTCCTATATATTAAACGTGTTAAAAGCTGTTTTAATGAAGTTTCTGCGAGGCGAAGGAGAGCTGTTTGAACTGGATAATATATTGCTGTTTGTTTGCCTCCATTTTACTATCAAACCTCGCTAAATTATAGACCTACTGTCAAATTACGGAACGTGCGAACTGAGTATTTTTCAACCAGGTACCGTGCTATGTAGAGTTGGGACCCCGGGAAATCTCGATCCCGAAATCCCGGGTTTGGACTGTTTTTTTCAATCCTGATTTTGCGATTATTTTCTGAAAAACTCGGGATTTTAAGGATTTGTTATCCACGTATAGATATTCTCACAAATTGTAGGTTATACTATTTTATTTATTACTTATTTGAAAATAAGGCATCCATGCTTACAGTTTGAGTCAGTCAGACATCCAAAGTTCTTCCTCTCTTTAAAAAGGGTAGTGTTTCAGATCTTGGAAACTATAGACCTATTAGTCTTTTACCATCATTTTCTAAGATTCTTGAAAAAATAATGTATAGTAGAATGTCAAACTACTTTGAAACTAACAATGTTTTCCACTCGCATCAATTTGGTTTCCGCAAGATCACTCCACTGCTATGGCTGCTAATGTTTTGGTACACAAACTGACCAAGGCGGCAAACAACATGCAATTGGAATATTTCTTGATATCTCAAAAGCTTTTGACACCATTGACCATTCCATCCTCTTAAGTAAGCTCTATCACTATGGAATTAGAGGCGTCCCATTCAATTGGATCAGGAGCTACCTTCAAGACAGGAAGCAAATTGTGCAATATGGCAACTCATTCTCTACAAATATTTGTGTCATGAAGCACGGAGTACCACAAGGATCTTTACTTGGCCCATTATTTTTTCTAGCTTACATTAATGACATGTCCAGGTGTCTGAAATCCTCTGAGTCGATCATGTTTACTGATGACACTGACTTGATTCTTCATGGGAAAAACCTTGAAGATCTATTCACAGTTGCAAACCAAGAACTAACCAACATTCATAGCTGGATGTTAGTTAATAAATTATCTCTTAATGCTAACAAAACTAAATTTGTATTATTCCATCCAAGCAAGCATAAAAGTGTGAGTTGTTCAAAAAAACTACTGCTCAATGGCAATGAAATTGAAAGAGTAAAAGAAATAAAATTTCTAGGAGTTATCTTTGATGAAAATCTGTCATGGAAATCACAAATAATGCATGTTATTGGTAAAACAAAAAGAAACCTAGCAGTTTCTGCCAAAGTATCCCAGTGTGTTGATCAATCAGCTCTACTAGCAATGTTTCAATCATTACTACTTAGCCATATTCGATATTGTTGTTCAGTCTGGCTTCATGGTAATAAAACATTCTCTTCCCTTAAATTTGAAGACGTTGAAGTCCAAAAAATCTTTTCAAAAACAAGTCAAGTCTCATTTAGTTTCCAAATATTAAAAATTACTACTGGTGGTATTCGATGACAAAAACTTGGGACACTCCACACTTGCACATTATTGTTTAAATGAAAATGTTGAACAGCTATAATAATATTGTTATATCTTGCCATGACTTGGACAGAACTAGTCCAGCACCAAAGAAATGGTATTGTGACATGCATAAGTATATTTAATATATAGGTAGCTGACATACCCGGATGATATTTTCTTTAAATAACTGCACACATTCTACCACTTCACGCTCGTGTTTTTATCTTTTTCTAGCTGTGATGTCCTTATCATACACGCTTGGTCTTATGTTTGAGTGGTAGTATAAGAGTTGTAGATAGTATAATATAGTTCCTGCAAGGTTACTAATTATTGCAACTAGGCAAGTAGTAGAGCTATGTTGTATTCTCCCCTTCAGATTTTAATTTGCTGTGGGTCATTGTAATTGGATGTGGTTTTTATATCATTTATGTATGCATGCATTTTATGTTAAGGCATGCTTCAAGATATAGATAGTAAAGGCCAAGGTATAGATAGTAAAATTTTGTGTGTTTTTTGCATGGTGTGATAAATTTTCCTCTATCCCAAGCAGAATGTCATCATAGATCATCTATCCATCGCTATATAATGACAATACATCCCATTTAATTAAACAATTATTTTTTGCCTGTAATAAAAAGTTCAGAGCGTTCCCCTTCACCTAATCATTGAAACATCTACTCGCAGTTTTATTTTTTGTTTTTCAGGTTACTTCAAAGTGATTAAATGAAGTAAAACACATAGAAAAAAATCAAAAAAAAGACTCCGATATCCTGTGAAATACCAACCTTATTCCTATATCCTTGTCTGAAATCAATACCCAAGAATGGAAAACCTCACTTTCACCCTTTGTAACTAATTTATTTCCATATCCTACTTTACTTAATTATAGTAATTTTACTGTTACCGGTAACTTTAATTACTTATTACAATCTGGACTATAATTTGGCAGTAATAGGCTCTAATTTGGGAAATGAAATGGTCTCGCCCACCTCTTCATTCACCCAATTCTGGCAACTTTGGTTGGGCAACTTGGCATTTGACTTCAACTATAATCAGCTTGGCAATATGTTTTCAATAGAATCTTCCTTTTATATTTTAATTAACGATTAGAAGATCGATTAATCAATGGCAACCATTACAAAAATATCAATATGGTGTGGCAAATAATTTTTTTCTTTTCTAGTATTTATTTATTTTTTTTTGTTTACTGTATAGTATACCCTAAATTTATCGCGTTTTATTCTTACTTAAATAATTTTTCAGTGGTTGTGCGTGTGTGGCTGGTGGGTGCATGTGAGCATGTGTGAAATAACTTAATAATTTTAGGTGAGTAAACACGTACCACTTCTTCTTGGCAAAACCTTCCATCTTATATTTTGTACGTTATAAACCTTATCTAAGGTTTCGTTTGCTCCCCTGATTTCATAATCAGTTTTTATTTATTTGTTTTTATCTGTCAAATGTATTGTTAATATGGAGTCGAAATAAACTTATACTACTTTACCAGCATGAAACAATGCCCGTCTGACCGAGTATTTTCAATTAAATTATGATCTGTTCTCGACATTTCAAAACACGATTCAAAATGACTACACAATATATTCTTTTAGTATATCTTACTTAAAGGTGGGGCCGGCTAATGGAAAGTACAAACATTTGGATGGAGTACCGATATTTATAAATTTGGTTGTAAATTCTTATTTGGGCCATGCTTGACAGGAATTCATGACATGTTCTCGACATACCAATTTTATATATACATGCTCATTGGTTCGGAATAACTTCACAATATGTTATTTACACGCTGTCTCGCTTGTTAATTTGACAAGATATACAAGACCATGCTTGACAAGATATTATTACATGTTCCAGACTTACAATTTATATAAAACTTGGTTCGAAATGACTTCATAATATGTTCTGTTAGAATATTTTATTTATAATTGGGGCCAATGACATATATAAGTCATTGGTGGGGCCTATAAATGGAAAATACAGATTTTTTGGGTGGAATAGTGAATGCACTAAAGTTTCGGCGTAAACCTGGCAACTGCCTTACGACTAGCTTCCCTATTTTTCGTCGCGCATTCTACTGTTCTATGCGTCGTGTTAAATCTTTAAGCATTGTAGATGTATATTGATGAGACTTTACTGGTCGCATGGGCTGGGGTAACCTTGGTGAAAGCTGGATGAATCAATGGATTGAATCTTCAAATGGAATACATGTTACTAGACCATGGAATTGGTGAATAAGTTATGTTTCATATCACTGTATCAATATTACTATTATGATGAAAATGTACAGCTAATTAACTTTATCTATTAAAAAATAAACGGGGAAGATGTCTGCTGGCCCCCCTGGGGGGACTTTGGTATCGGACATGCACTTGCAGACTTGTCGGTCTGCCAGTGCAGTAGGGAATGCATTTAACCAGAAGTATTGAACCAGTAAACCCAATCTGGTAAGAAACAGCTGATCCAAACTCATCTTTCAGTCTTTGGAGGCAATCTTAAGATAAAGCACTTTATTCTCTTATTTTATTCTACTTCATGCAGACCTAGAGATTTGAGTTTTATTTGCCGGTTTATTTGTTGTAAGTTCAGAAATTGGTTATTCTTAATGCAGTAATGACTTTATAAATCTAAATCATAGTGACCCTATTTTTGGATGCCGTAGTCAGGTGGGGGATATGATTGACATGTGCAAAAATCGTCATGCTTCGCCCACTAGAAGTATTTGATGTACGAAACTACACGAGTCCCCATTATTCTTCCCTACCTGCCCATGGGATTCAAACTCATGCAGGGTAATTAGAGCTAGAGGCTTGAGCTTCCTAATCAAAGATATACCAAATTTGTTTTGCAGAATCTCTGGGTCAATAGGTTTGTTTTGGTCCTTAGGTTTGGTTTGTAACTAATACAGTTTATACCATAGAGATGAAATTATGGATTCAACTGAAGAAGTTTTAGCACAGAAGCATTATTATCACAGTACTCTTCCTCGTGAGGAAACAGAAAATCTTCTCAAACACCGAGAGGATGGAACATTCTTACTTCGCAAAAGTTTGAGACGCAATGACAGTTACGTGATATCTATATCGTATAGGGGTGACTGCCTCCATTACAGTATTGACCCAATTCAGCGTGATGGTCGAACAATGTACTCTGTAAATAATGGTACACCCTTTCCTAATCCGTGGGAAGTATGTGAACATTACATGGCAATGCAAGGTGGCCTCAAAGTTCAGCTGCGAAATCCTGTATTTAAAAACCTCACTGGCGCTTCTGCATATGTACTGGAAACTGATTGGTTTCACAATGACATCACAAGAGAGGAAGACTCCCGAAGGTTATCCCAGGGATATCGTTTGAATCGCAGCGATGGGATTTTCCTTGTGCGTCGGAAGGATACAAATATGTATGTCCTCAGTGCCGTGAATTCTGGAAGAGTTCACCGTTACATTATTAACCAAATACCTGCAACTGGTCACTTTTGCATTTCTGGAAAAAAGAGAGAATTTCCTTCAATGGAAGATCTTGTCAGTTTTCATAGAGCAAATCCTCCATCTGTAACGGGCATTCAGTGCCAGCTTGCAGCTGCTTGTCCAAAGTCATTTGGTGAGAAAAAAAGAACAGGAGTTCCATTGGTACGAAATTCAATAAATCCGGCAACAGCAAATAGATTTTCTGGCTTATCCCTCAATTAAACAACTATTTACCAGATGGTAGCTTTGATATGACATGGGATCCTGATAGATCACAACACGATACAGCAATGACTAATCCAAAGGAGGAATGGGATATAAGACGAACTAAAGCAAAAAGTTGGTTGAAAGAGTTTACATTGGCTTCCACAAACATGCCAGAAGATTGTCCTGGCTTCAATAGTATTTATCAAAATTGTGCGGGAAAAGATGGATCGGGTGTGGCCAAAGACCTCTACGTAAAGGAATCTGATATTTCAGTTTATGAAGAATTGGGAAAAGGCCATTTTGGATCAGTTTGCTTGGGTAGATGTAAAATTTCAGGAGAAGCAGTGACTTGTGCTATAAAATTTCTCAAAGGTACTGATGTTGTGACAAATAAGCAGCAGCTGCTGGAAGAAGCTGCTCTCATGCAAGATCTTGATCATCCGAACATCATGCGATTGATTGCTGTGTGTGATACTGACACAGATCTTATGATGTTACTAGAACTTGCTCCTATAGGTACTTTTAAAAAATTCTTGAAGCGTCACAATGAAACTTCCTTTCCTGAATCCAAGATTTTAAACATAGTAAATCAAGTACTACACGGTATGGCTTATTTAGCCAGCAAGAATATCGTGCATCGGGACTTGGCCTTAAGAAATGTACTCCTCGTATCAGAGAATTTTGCAAAAGTTTCGGATTTTGGAATGTCAAAGGTCTTGAAAGAGTCCGAAAATTATTATCGCTCGGCCCGACCAGGAAGCTGGCCACTTAAATGGTATTCCCCTGAGGCATTGTGTTATTATAAATTCACCACAAAATGTGATGTGTGGAGTTACGGTGTCACACTTTGGGAAGCCTTTTCTTATGGTAGTCGTCCATATCGTGGAATGAAGGGTCGGGAAATATTAGAAATGTTGGAAAGAAATGAAAGGCTTGATTGTCCCATAGCTTGTCCTCCTGATGTATATGATCTCATGCTGTACTGTTGGACGTATGAAGCTGATCAAAGACCAAGTTTTGATCAACTCGTTCCAATTATGAAGGAAATAATGAAAAATGTTGGACTACTATCCACCAGTACCTCTGGAGTATCAGCATGAATAAACATATTTTATTGCAATGATGGACTGCCATGCATTGTAATAATAAATGGATTGGTGCAATACAAAAAACAAGTTTGAACATTACTATATTTTACGAAGGGTTATGTGCTTAACACTATCACCACACTGTTTGTGCAAATTTCCTCAGATTTAGGGGGGTATACTGTCTAATGGTGAATGTTCTACTATATATTCAAATTTTACCCCATTTCCAAGGTTATTATTACCATAAATGCCATTTCTAGCGATACATGCATAATTTTAAAATGAGCATAGGCTACATGTGATTATTCCCCACATTACGGTATTTTTTACTTTCAACAATTCTCTAATAGTAAACAGTTTATCTCAAAAAACACTGTTCCCAGTTCTCTATACCATTTGATAGGCAATGGAATATATTTTCGTTTTCTATATTATACAAGTATTTTTGTATCAAGTTTTGTTTTTGATATTCGAATTTTTCATAAAAAATCCTTAAAATCTTCAAACCGGCTTATTTGCAACAGTATTATTCTTCATATATAAGTAATTTTTTATTTTATCCTGACCAGTTCATTCTTCAATAATTTGTCATAATTTTTATATGCACTAATTTTTTTATTCAATGCAACTGTTTTTCTTAATCTGTATAGTTTGCAAGTTTCAAGAAGGATATCTCACATGATATTGTGTTCTATATTCACCCTGTAGGTCTACAATGCATACATTGTAACAACACATTTCTGTATTTGAATAAAGCAAGTGAAAATACAGCGATATTTGTAAGAATGACTCATTGTATAGAAAACTATTTTTGGATTCTCCATTGATGTGCATAGTTCATTGTAAGGTCTTACTCTTCAGAAAAAATCTGGTGCATTGCTTCTTTCGCAATAACACATTTGTATTTAAAATGGATCCTACAGTAATTTATCATAATGCAAAGAGTTTCATACTTTTTTTTTGTCATTGCACTGGAAAAATGAATGCTGTATAGATGCAGTTTATGTATGTAACAATATTATGTGCCATCAAGTGAAGACCTTCGTCAGTCATAATTTTGTTCATATTGTTGCATTTTAGATTATTACTCAAACTCCAACTTTACTCAGCAGTTTCCCTCGAATGCAGTTATTTTACATGATTTATTTAGTTGTTCATTTCCTAAAATCAAATATGATTTGGATGTTACTAATATTCAATTTCTAGAAGCTCACAGGCCTGCAGCACTTTTATCCCTTACAGATTGATCCACATTTCAACTGGAATTTCTATTATCATAACACTTTTGGCTTTGACTAAGAACCAAATTTATGATGATGGAATGAACCATTACTTTGTTCGTCCTAAAATCAATGAACTCTTTGCTAGATATTGGTGCGTGTGCTATATTTTCATTTTGCCTTTTATTTAATGTCATGTGCACTTCCAATAAATGCTCTGTCCGAAAGTTGCTCATATAGAACTCGTGACGGTTGTGAATTTGATTGTCACGTGGGCTAGATCAGTGGTCGGCAACCACCGGTCCGCGGAAAGGTTACTGCCGGTCCGCAGAGAGGTGACACAAAAACGAAAAAGGCCGTAATAAAACCTCTACAATCTAACCACAAACCCATCGACTAAAAAACAGCACTCAACACAACACTAAACCAGACAAACACAACACCAGGAATCGGCAAAACTGCGAACCGTGAGCTAATTTGTTGCGGCCCTCGAACGACCCGACATTCAATACATAAACCAAATATGATTCCAAATTTATTATTGTCTCTACACGGATTTATGTGGTAACAAGTGCTGATGTACGGTGCTTGTTTAGTAATAAGTAGCGTTGGTTGTATATCGTTCGAGTTAATTTTGATTTTTTAAAAATTGAAAATGTCTGGGAAACGGAGCGACGATGGTCGAGCATTCCAAAGTGCTTGGACGGAAAAATATTTTTCTTTTTTTTTTTTTTTTTTTCCTTGCGCATTTCAAAACCGGTTCGCTCGATATCGCAGTCGTTGAGGGTTTTAATGTTAAACTCGTTACGGAACGAGTCGTCGAAAATTCGACCCGAGACCCGGGATTGCGCCACAGCTCATCTGTGCGCTGGTGAAAAAGGTGTAATGTGCACGGTCGGAAGAATATATGGCCTTGAGCAGCTTTATCTAAAATGCATTACACTTAGAATAAATTTCGTACTTGCCTATCAGATCATCATTTGAAGTTTGGACGACAAGTTGCCATAAAAACACCATCTTTCACATTGATAATAAGGGAAGTTCAATTAATGTGGCGATTGTTCGAAGGCGGAAATAGAAATATTGCGGCCCGCGCTACCGGAAATGTGTATATTTGGCCCGCAAGTACATGAAGTTGGCCGCACAACACTATTGAGCAGCATGTCTGACTTCATGAACAACTGCCATGTCAGTATCTCGCAATAATGCTGGGTCAAATGTTATCTCTACGCCCGTATAAGAATGCCTCTCATCAGTCCGAATAAGATCTCCCCAACAAAATGATACAGGCATTGTTAATTTTCCCGAAATCTTATTAATATGAGGCCTAGTTTTCAATATTGATAACTACAAAAACTGCTAGGTGGTTCACGTGACCGCTGTTCGGATACGGCTTCCTTCACAATCAAGACAATGCATCCGAAACAAGTAACTGGCTAAATAATCCCATATCCGACATGGGCTGGTAACCGAGGGTTCGCCATATGATGAGACCGTTCTTCCTCTCCCTCCCGTATGGTTGCCAATCGTATTTCAAATGACAATCCTTTAATTGAGGTTTTTGGTTCTTGTCCTTTTTAGCATTTAGAAAATAGGCTAATTGTCCTTTATTCTTCCCAACGTCGTTTTGCCCGCTTGTTATAGTACTGTGTTTGATATTGTTCCTTATTAAAAAATCGCTTCCGTTTATGTATTTGCAAGCTTTAAATTATTCTTCTATTCAATTAAAGAGTCCAGCTGCACACTAACACAAATGTATTTCTGTAACGTTTCGTCCGACCAGAGTCAGACTTCCTCAGACAAGCAGTTTACAACAATGGCAAGAAAGAAAATTTTGAAAATTTTCTTTTTAATTTCGCTTTGGTCCGGCTCAAATAGCCAAAGAAATACCAATTTTATTAACATTTCAAATATTTTATATTAATTTTCCGAAAATGGCAACACCAGTTGCATATTTCAGTAAATTATTTTAGTTCAATAACTGAAAATTCTACGTATAATTGGTCTCTATGACGTCCACAATCCAACAATACTGTTTTGTCTAAGCTCCATACAACTAATGAAAAGTGAGCTTTTATTATACTTTAACTTGAAAGACACGTGTCGTGAATTTTCGGAAAATATAAAACGTAATCCACAATCGCTGAAGTCAGCAAAGAGTCGGAAGAAATATAACTTTAAGAATAACATACTTATGCAACAAAATTAGAGCTTGTTTGGGTCGATGTTGAATAAACATTAAATGAAAAACACGTGAAGATTTTTTTAATATATATTTTTAGCTTGTATATGATTTTTATTTCATATAGTTTGATATTGTTCTTTCCTGCAAGTTACAAAATAAATGATGACGGTAATCTATGTGTACTTTATTGAAACTTTTCATAGTTGGCAACCCTAACCCCGGGATAAATATGTAAATCATATCCATTGCTTTTCTTCTTCATGTGCAAAAATAGATTTACTCATTAACCACTGGACCAATTGGTTTGAGAATTTCAGTATCGTATTTTTTGCTAGAAGGATATGGATGTTCCCCGAGCATTGGTTACCTTTTTATGTCCGTAAGAATGAACAATCAGCAATAAGTCAACAATGACGTAACAATTGCAATTTGTACAGCCGCTCAGACACTTTCTTCCGCTCGAACAGATTTCTAAGCATGGCTATAAATATTGCCTCATTTTCGTGGTTTTGCGTGTTATTTGTCAGTTTTCAGCTGTGTTTCCAAAAGATAGTTGTAAATCGAATAACTTATGTCTTCCGAACACCTAGTTTTGGGTTGCGAATTGCGATACCATATTAACTTTTGCGCATGTACATTATCGAATGAATGCAGAGTTTTGCAACGAAGGAAAAAAAATCCGATCTTCGCCGCGGCACAGGGAGTAATTCTTGAAAAATGGAGTTGACAGAAAGATAGTTTACCGACATGAAGGTGTCGGATGCTGGAGTAATCTCACATGCGGTGATTAGTACAAAATCAACCAAATCTGTCTTCTAGTGACCCATGGCGACCTGGGCTCAACGCGACCTGGGCTCAATGTACATTAGAACTAAACGCTATTCATTACAATTTTTCTATAAAAATATTCGACTTTGTCAGCCGCTAGTTATTTGGTTCGCAAGATTTTTCAATGTATCATTAAGACAATATGACAAGTTGAGGCGTTCTAACATACTCGCTAGTCCTCGTATATACTTGCTAGTGGTCGACCCATATTGCCATTTCAGGCACCGATATATATATCGACAAACTAGGGGCCGAAATCTGATATTTATCACTTTCGATCAATAAATTAAACAGAAATATCGAAAACACGGTGAACAGTACAGAGTGCTGCAGCATTGATAAAAAAAGGTTCACAACCAATAACTGAAGGCGCGGGAGGCAATGTTTGGGAAAATTGCGCTAAAAAGAACAAGGCAGTCAATAAAAAGTTTATAGAAGTCACTTTTGATTAAAAGAATTTCTATGGAAAACATGCAGACCTGCGCCGTGCTTGCAGCACTGACAAAATAAGTTTCACTGGCAATAATTAATAAATGAGGACACTCAGTATTCGACACCAAGAGGCAAGGTTTAAAGATTAAAGAAACTTAACCACGGCCACAAAATAAATGACGCAGTCGGTTACAATTTTATCTAAGCATAGAAATTCACTTTGAGCAAGCGAACAGTGCTCGCGCTTATAAAAAAAGAATTTAATGCCAGCTCAAATGGGAACATTCAAATAAATCTAACAACAGTCTTAGATTGCAGTGAAGCAAAGCTCGACTCATCACTGGCTCTCGAATATATTGGTCCAGTTGACTACATCCCCTGGTGGAAGCAGACTCTTCATTCACGACCGACGTTGCGTCATATATTTACGGTTGCGTCCATGATGTCAACTGCGCTGCTGCTGCTGAAACTTGGTTAATCTCTGACTTCAGATATTTCTAGTACCGGGCCAATTGCATGACTGGTCTCCTCATGTAGCTAGTCATCTGCTACTGCTACTGCAAGAACTTCAGTGAAAGGCCTGTCAGAAATTTAAAATATTGAGCTTACGCCTGTAACAGGAATATTAATTGCGACTGGAAATTGCCGTTGGGGCAAACATTTTTTGTGAAAATCTACGTGGTTTAAATATGCATGGGTGCGGGTTCAAATGTACGTCAGTTCAAATGTTCGAGGGTGCAAATGCACATGGGTTCAAATGTCCGCGGGTGCAAATGTTCGTGGGTTCAAATGTACATGGGTTCAAATGTATGCGGGTGCAATTGTACATAGGTTTAAATGTCCACGGGTTCAACCTATATGCAGGTGCTAAAATCCGTGGGTGGAGATGTATGGGTTCAAAGGTGCTAAAATCCATAGGTGCAAATGTCGGTGGCT